GGTAAAATCCATCCAAAAATTAGAAAAATTGGTATGAAACGGCTGACAGTTACACGTCCAAATGCAACTAACGGAGCAATAGATGCGCTGCGCCGACATATGTATAATTAGGGTCCGCTGTTAACATGTGAACGTATGATTACAAAACTATCTTCTTTGCTTCCACCTCACCATTCATAAAACCCCTAATCATTCTTCATTAGTAGAGGATATTTTGGGAAATAATTTATGAATCAAAAATAAATAAATTAATAAATAATAGATTTTAAGAATTACGACTTACGAGTCAGACAAACGCGTAAACCAATTTGGGTTTGACTTTTCCTTTATCTCCGTAGACAAATATTTCCTCCGTATATTTCCTTTAACAATCAATACATTGTGGATTAGGAAGCACTATATACATTATAGACTTTAATCCAAAATATGTATATAAAATTAAAATATCATATATTTTTAGTTAATAAATTATGTATATTTAATTATTATGTAATTTTTTTTGAATGCAGTTATTATGTAATTTAGTTGATTATAAATTGTGTATAGGTAGTTATATGATCCACAATGCGCATGGTCTATGATTCACGATAAAAATTGGGTTCATTTTGTGTCAAGATTTATTAACGGGGCTTTGATCCACAAAATAAGTTGTTTCATTTTATCTGTCTAATTTGACTAACGAGTCTTAATTAAAATTATTTACAATATAATTTTTTCATTATAAAGTTTAGTATCAGTATATGAAATTTATATATTTAGAATATTATTAAACACAATAAAATAATTTTATAACTAATGAATAATAAATAAAATAAATAAAATGTGAAAGATTGAGAACGTATTTTTTCCACAAATGTATAGGTGTAGACACATATGTAGTGAATTCAAAGGGGTAGCTCAAGTTGTAAAGAAATTTTTTTGTGTGGACGATTATAGGGGTAACTTGAGTTTAATTTTCACAAGTAACGATTCTCCGCGGGCCAGTCTCAATGACCCGGATTGTAGATAGACAGAGAAAAATCTGAAAAATCTCGTTTGAAAAAAAAAAAAAAAAAAAAAAAAAAACAGAAAAAACGACACGTATGTAGTCGCCTAGTCGTGTAGCCAGCAACGAATTTTTTTTTGGCTTTTCTCTTTTGTTAGCTAGCTAATCATACTTTTTGCATTTGATCATGTTGTCTTGTATACTTGTATCACTCTATTATTTATTTTGAATGTTATTTATATGTTAATATTTATAATAATTTAAGGAGTTAATTTCAATTTTAATTCATTGACAATTTTATATATATTGTACTTTGACAAATTCAAAAACTCAATGTACAATAAATAAAAACAATATATATATATATATATATATATATATATATATATATATATATATATATATATATATATATATATATATATATACATATATATATAATCGACCAACTTTTTAATTTTTATTATTTAAAGTGTGTCATGTAAAGACTAAAAGTTACACACTTTTAATAGTTGAAGAACCAAGTATAATATATTTAAATTTGAGTATTAAATGTCCCTAATTAATTGACCATTTTGATCCGTGTAATCAAAAGGATCACACATTTTTAAAATTCTCATAAGGATATTGTTCTCAATTCCCGTCGTTCAGAACCTGACTTTTCAACTCATATTGATGGAATAATCACGGAGCGGATCTTGGAGCGGCGCAATACGGAGCGGGTCGGACCCGGCCTCCGTGGGCAACCCACGACGCGTGGCGAACCACCCCGGGGGTCGGCCCAGCGTGGGGTCGGCTTGCCGTCAAGCCAACCCCCACGGGCTCGGCCTCGGGCCCCATGGGCTCGGCCACGTGGGCTCCGCCGAGCCCGTGGCCGGCACCTTGGCCGAGCTCCGTGCTCGGCCAAGGACCAGGTCCTCGCGTGGAGCGAGTCCCGCGGCTCCTCTCGCGCGACCCGGGCCTGGTCCGGCGGGGGTATAAAAATACCCCACGGTTTCCTATTCAAGCATCTTCTACTTTTCTTACAACACTTGTATTGTTATTACACGTCCCGAACCTCTGTAATAACACTATACACTCAATTAATACAATATTTATCATTTTATTATTCGTTCGTCATATTCGATCATATATACGGGTTGTATAATTCGGACCCCCGGTTCATATAACCCATCACATACATAATTTATGACAAATAGCCCACAACAATGAATCTCGCACCAAACTTATAAACAAAGTCATTAAGTCATTCACCCTGTTCATCTTGTATAACTACACCTCTTCTCATGGAATCACTTAGTTGTCCAAAAGTACCATCATCCACATCAATTTTAACATAGTAGGTGAATGTTTTTTCTAATCAATCAAAACCAATAATTTATGTTGTAAGTAATAATTGAATAAAAAAATATGTTAAATCTCTCAATTCCATTCCTCTATTTACGTAGCTCGAACCAAATATTTTGTTCTAGTTTAAAAAATAACAACAATATTATCATTAAATGAAACCAAAAAAAAAAAAAAAAAAAAAAAAGCCATGAAAGTGAAAGCAATACAAACAGAAGCAGCTAAGAAGAGGAAGAATATATACATACATCTCAATCCTTAATTGATTACAAATTTGAAAGTTTCAAAATTGTGAACATATATGTGGGCGTGTCTGCATGACTGAGTATAAGCAATAAGCAGTTCCAAATAGTAAGTAGGACATGGCAACAATTATGCAAAATCGTGTAAGAAATCTATGTGTCGGTCCATCCGGAGACCGCTATCCCACTATCCCCCGCCTTCATTTACTTACATTTCAAAACAAACAAACCAAAATAAAAAAAAAAGTAAGATTGCAATTAATTATCATAATCCACTTTGGGTATAGTGTATACATGAAGATAATATATATAGAGGATATAGGATTTGAATTAAATAAATATTGTCGGAGAGACGCAGAGAGAACTAATAATCGCTCTTAATCGTCCATCTATGAAGATTTAAAGGCTTTAAAATAAATCGGGAGAGAAAAATACAGTGATTTGTATAAATAACTTAAACTTTAAAGTGCAATTAATAAACTAATAATACCATAGAGTGCGTCCCGAATATGTAAGTGTAGTGAACATATTCACTTTGTAATTATATTCAATACCATATAGTGTTTACAATTGCACTTTATAGTGTTACTAATTACATTTTAAGGTTCGAGTTATTTGTAAATTTGTCACTACATTTTTCAAGAAATGCTTCTATAGCTTTGCTTAATAGCATTTCATATAGTGTTACTAGTTAGTACTTTAAAATTTGAGTTATTTACATAAATGTCACCATATTTTTTTTCTTCTTTAATTGTTACAAATCTATTAGATATTTTCATATTAACGACCTCTCTGTAGTGTTGCTAAATGCATTTTAAAGTTTGAATTATTTATTAAAACACCACTACATTATTCATTCTCATTGCTTCAAAGTCATTAGGTATTTCCAAATAAATTAAATGAATGAGATTGATTTTATTTATTTATTTATTTGAGAACACGTGAAAAATTCTATCAAGCCGATTGAGAGCAATGTCGACTAAAACATAGTAACATTTGTGTAATATAATACCTGATTGTATATGGTAAAATTGAAAATCATTTTTAATAATGACAAGTACAATCCGTAATTAAACTATGGTATTATAGAAAGCTATTTTTATTAATATTGAGTATTTGAGTACAACATATTTTTCCAACCTAGTACTATTAGAAAGTATTTCAATCATATTTATATTGTACCCAATACTATTAAAAATTGTCTCCAATAATACTTGGTATTATTGGAAAACATTTCAATCATGGCTTTCTAATTTATTATATGAATGAAAATGTCACTGGTACTATAATATTTGTATTAAAAAAAATACAATTGAATGTAGTTGGTTATATGTGTCATTATTTGTCATGATTGCCCATGCATTAGTTAATTTCAAATGTAATTATCGAGTAATAATTATATTTTATCTTCGATATTAATAACACTTCTAATTTTAGCCCTTAAATACTAATTTCATATCATATTCATATTCATGAAGTCCTGAGTCAGGTTTAAAAGTAAATTAATGCATTATTAGCGATTAACGTACGTCTTCAATTCCAACTTTGTTTTAGTAATCAGATTTGGACAAGATGCTCACCAACTAAATTCTCACCAAACAATTTATATAGAATTGAAGAACAAATTAATAACATAATAAATCTACCACGAGAGTATAGTTGAACTTTTGGTTGTTCACTTTTGTAAAAAATTATACTCCATATAAAATTAGTAGCGAAGAACTAAATTTGAAATTGTCATTAATAATTGAAAATAAAATTTGATCGAGCTATTATTTAAGGATTAAATGTAGAAATATTCTTCTATTAACAAAAAAAAAATAGGAAATTATTTTTCTATAAATATGGAAAATTAAAAGAATGAAAAACTGAAGAATGAATCAAACTTGTTTACTAAAATTATTTTTAAAACTAAAAAATTTTAAAATTTGGAGAATTCATTTTACTAATTCTCCAAATTGGAGAAATGGAGGAGAAATGGAGAAAGATAGATAAATAGTAGATCCACGCTTCAATGAAACATTGAAGAAATGAAAAACTGGAAAATAAAAACAAAAAATCATCAACAGTAGGTTGGAAAATATAAAATCATTTTTTCTAATGATGCGAAAAACTCACAGTCACCTCTCGAGAGTACGCACTAGATAAAATCTCGCCATTTACAAGGATGTAAACTAACTTATGTTACTCATAACTGGCTCAAATAAAAAAGATTGAAATTTGAACTTGTGCTTTTATAATTACAAGTTTATATAATTAGTTATTTTCACTGGAATTCCCCTATAAAATTCCTTTTTATTACCGAAAAAAGGCGGATTTAAGAAAATTCAAAATAAAATGATTGTAGAGGGAGAAAACTAGAAAAGGAGTTATTTTTGTCTAGGTGCTTTATATATATATATTATTTATTTTTCATTCTCCGCATATAAAACCTGAGTAGCTTAACAAAGAAAATGCGTTAGGGAGCGACAGAAACACTGGAGCTGCTTAACAAAGCCAAAATTTCATGGGTGTTCTTTCTCTCTCTAAAATTCCTCCAATCGTGGCTTTAGATTACAGGGAAAGATAGGATTTAGATACAATCAGTTTATCAGTCGATATATATAGGCAGATTCACAGCGCATAATTATGAATTTGAAGGGCGAGAAGATGGAGATGGAAGGGGAAGTTGTGGGGTCGTGTTGTTCAGAGAAGAGGAAGAACGAGAGACCTTATAAAGGAATCAGGATGAGGAAGTGGGGTAAATGGGTGGCCGAAATCAGGGAGCCGAACAAGCGGTCCAGGATATGGTTAGGATCCTATTCGACGCCGGTAGCGGCGGCGAGAGCCTACGACACCGCCGTCTACTACCTCCGCGGGCCGTCGGCGCGGTTGAACTTCCCGGAGCTGCTGGTTAGCGACGGCGCCGGACTCAGCGACTTGTCCGCCGCTTCGATTCGGAAGAGAGCGGTCGAAGTCGGCGCCAGAGTGGACGCAATCCAAACCTCCCTCGGCGGCCACGACCACCGCCCCTACAAGCAGCGCGACGGCGAGCGTGAAAGCCCTTGCGCGACTCGACTGAAGCCGTGTTGGTTTCAGGAGAAGCCCGACTTGAACGAGAAACCCGAACCCGAAGACCCGGATAGCGGAGATTACTGGTGACTGGTGAGCAATAAATAAATAAATAACAAAAAAAAAATAAAAATTAATTGTACTTTTGTTAGGTTGCGCTGGTAAACAAGCGCCCAGTAGTTTCTTCTTTCATCTGGTAAATTAAACTAGCTAGCCAAGCTACCTTGTTTTATCTTCTTCATTTTATAAATATTATTTACCCTAGTTTTTTACTGTTATAATCTCTTTTTTTCTTCAATTTCCTATATTTATTGTGATATATGAACTGGAATTATTGTTTGCATTAATTTTGATACGAGTAAGCGTGGGCGGTGGTTACCGGACGGTTATTTAGCAGCTCCTCCGTTGTGTATCCGGCGAGGTGGCGGACCCGCCGGAGGGGATGAGGACAGGGGGAACAATGGTGTGCCGCTAAAGTAGGCGCAACTGTTTTTTTTTTTTTTTTTTAAATTTTTATTTAAATAATATTTTAATGAGTGCAAGTGGGATAGTATTTGCTTTCAAGGGCAAAAACGTATATTAGGTTGATAGGATAATTTAGATTAATTCGGAATTATATTTTATTTTGAGAGTAATTTAGAATCTTTTTTTATTTTTTGGTCAAAACCACGAGGTGTGAGCAGGTCCTAACGATATGAGATATCTTTAAGTCTGTACCATACATAGATTAATTTCTGTTCGCATCTAATTAGTCCAATTAAGAGGTAAAATGCTGGTGAGATTGGTAATTATTTCAATCTCAAACAAAGTCTTAATCTCTAATTGGTAATATTTTCAATCTGGAAAGAAAGTTTTAATCTCTATTTCGTAACGATTCAAAGAGAGTGAATAGAACTGCAGCAAAGAATTCTATCATTTTGAAAGTATATATGTAGATCATAGAGACGCGTTTTATGATTTATTTTTTTAATAAAATTTTAGAATAAAATATATCAGACTTAAAATTGGGGTGTAAATTTTTTTGTTGACGAGAAATATTTGTAATTATTATTATTATTGAGAGTATATATTAAATAAATTTTAATTGCGGGAGAGGGTGTCAAATCAAGACCTAAGTCTTTATGATAGTAGAAAACGACGGGCGTATTAATTAAAGAGGAAGGCAGCCACTGAGCAGGCCTGCAGGCATTATGGCTGTTTAACAATCTGGGCTAGTGGATAGTGGATTGGATCTTAGTTTGGAGGGTTATGATTTTTATTTTTATTTTTAAATTAAAAAGTTTTTAGATATTCATGATTGTCTTCATAAGATAGTTGTCGTTGTGTAAAAACGCGAAAGTTATGTCAATAATAATTAGTTAGTTATATGTTATAATAAGAACTCAATTGTAATTTTTTTTTTTTTTTGAAAGACTAATCAGGAACTGATCCTTCCATATTTGGTAGACTATGCAACTTAAATCAACTAATCACTTAAAAGGATTAGTTAGTTGACAAGCGTCTGGTGGTTCGCTCAATTGTTCGACTGGATGGTGTAATGGTGTATTATTAAACAATTATTTATTCAAAAAAAAAAAAAAAACATTAGTTTTTCATCAGCCATCCACCTAAAGGTTGTTCCATCAACCATAATTATAAATACATAGAATAGGAGCGGAGTCAGAAATTTCATCCAATTGCAGGAAGATTTGACGTCTTGACATATATATATATATATATATATATATATATATATATATATATATATATATATATATTCAAGGGGTGAGATGGGGCCGGGGAGGGGGCAACTGCCCCTACTGCCCTATACTGGTTTCGCCCATGATATAGAGCAAATGCCCCAAAATGAGTGGTTAAGGGTGTAGAGCATGATTCTCGTACCTAAAAATAGTGAGTTCGATTCTTGCTAACATACAAGTTGATTGATCAATATGATAATTGGGAGAAACATACGAGCATTACTCTTTTATTATATTTGGTTAACGAAACTTATGAAAAGTTGAAAATGTAAAGGAATGCCATGTTTCATACAAGCATTTATGAAAAACTTAGACAAATATAATGAGACAGACAGATTAAAGTTAATGAATTAATCGTAGACTTAATTGTGATTCTTTGGTTGGTTTTATGGAAATTACCGGCCTCTCAGATTCACAGAATCAAGAAGCTCTCATGAGCTCCCTTCACTGTAAGGGGAATCAAGTTGCCGACAGACAGGCAAATTAAATCTGGGAATTCAAATGCCACACAACATATGATGATGGAGTACTATAATTCCATGACATTATAATTGCCCCACAATATATGTTAATGCATGGCTTTCTTCACCTTAATGAACAACCTACGGGCGCAGGTTTGCTGCCAAACAAATGTGGTCTATTATATTCCGGGAATATTCTCAAATAATAACGATAAATTTTTTTTATCATCCAATTTTTTTTTTTTTTTTTTATACGTAATGTTATGAAATGCCTAAACTTATCCAAATTGACTGGATAATTTGACCATTTCGGGTCAGCAGTCAGCACACCTAATAGGACCAAAAATAGCTAGGCAAAAATTCATTAATTGCAAAACTGTTGCACCCTAATATCGAGTGTCCCATCACTCATATCGTGAAGCTTAATTCCGTGGAAGAAATAAATTGTTAAAAAACGTATGAATTGTTTACAAAGTTATTCAAAATGCTTTCTCTCACAACTATCAACAAAGCAAAATTGTAATTTTATAAACTATTTTTAGATTGATCAACTAGTTAAACTGTTTCTCTGGATAACATTTCATTAATTGCACCGTAATATCGAGATGTAAATTGCTAAACATGTCTCAACAGTTTACACGTTTCTTAAAGTATGTGCATACTCTTGCAACTATCAACTAAACAAAACTATATAAACTCTTTTAATTTTAGATGGAATAAGGGTCAAACAGGTCATCAAACTACACACTAAAATGCAATTAGACCATTGAACTCAAAAAACATGTAATTCGATCCCTAAACTAACCAATTTCATGCCATTACTCCAATTTGCAAGTCTTTCCGGTTTCTAACAGGTCACCTCAAATTTAAAATATTTTTTAAAACTAATTATTTAAAACTTAAAAAAAAAAAAAAGTATCCGGTCACAGAGACGAAGAAACCTTCAATTCCTTGTCTCCGGCATGGAGATTTTTTATTTTTTATTTTAGTTTTAAATAATTATTTTTAAAAAATATTTTAAATTTAGGATGACCTGTTAAAAACTGAAAAACTACAAATTGGACTAATTACATGAAATTAGTTAATTTAGGGACTCAATTGCATGTTTTTTTTTTTAATTCAATGATCTAATTACTTTTTGATGTGTAATTCAAAGATCTATTTGACCCTTATTCCATTTTAAATTGATCAACTAGTTGAGCTGTTTCTCGCAACAATAGTGCATTAATCACATAGGCAAAGGGATTGGCAGCAGTTGGTTGACTAAGACAGGAGGTTGAGGGTGTACATATAGGATACCAAAATTTTTTCCAAAGATGGGTAACCAACCTCCACGACAAAATGGATAAATCAAGTGACTTTGTTGTTTAACAACCTGGTGGCGAATTTACACAGATTCATGCGAGCAACAATGTCTACGCAATGGGTTCCACAACATTATTAAATATTAATGGGAATTAATTAAAAAGCTAAGAAACAACAGTAGACCAAGTGACCAACATAATCTCAGTATCCCACACCACATGTTCATTCCAATTATTGTCAAAAAGTTGGACTTTTTCTCATCTTAGGTCCTCTAATTATTCGTTAGTCTTTAGATATTATCTCCCCCTGTATCAATGGATGATGTAAGTTCCACCAAATGCTTAGCATATCAGTTGATGATTAAGTATAATAAGTAACAACCAACTACTTGTATCAACTTATTTAATTAAACACATGATAAAAATTGTAAGATATACTTAATTTTAATAGCCAATTTTTGTCAACTCATCAAGATACTTGTATTCTTTTAATTAGAAGGAAGTCAGAGAGCACCCTAAAACCTTATATAGTTATTGGTTGTTTAGAATAATTTCAATATAAATTTTCTGTAAAAACAAGTATAATAATAGAATAATTGTGGATCGGAGAATCAAACTTCAGTACAATATGAAAAAATAACTACTATTTATATGATTAATATGATTAATTTAGTCTTGATTCATTTGGTGTTAACTACACACAGACAACACATGTGGTTGATTGACAAGATTTTAGGATCCAACAACAAGGATTGGACTGGCCCTCTTTCTCGGATAAAACACCAGGGCTTATGGGTCGGATCCGGTTCAATAGGCCCATATGGTAAATGGGCAATTATTATAGCAGTTTATATTCACCTATAACTTTTCTCTTGTTGGGTGAAAGTGGTTACAGTTGGGACATTGGACCGGAATGGACATAAAACCCATATTAATTATCTAACGTTATTATTTGTCGCAGTAAACACATTAACTATGTTCAGAACAATTTTACCAACTATTTGGAGCTATGATATATGCATTCAAGTCAATCACTCAATTATAGATTAAATTTATCATATAGTCTAGTGCGCTTCTGAGTTTTTAATGTGTCTAATAAATTAAAATTTACATTTTTGCTAATATTTTTGAAGTATTTTGTATGTCTTATATGTGTAATGAAATATGACATGCTTTGTCACTCAGCTACGTTCTAATACTTGTCTCTAGGGTTTGATGAATGGGTTGGGGTTCGGAGGTAACACCTCCATGGTATAGTATATGAGTAATTTTGTAAATGTACCGTATGTTAGGTTACATACAAATATAATATTTGTAATTCTGAATGAAATTATCATTATAATTAATAATAATAAAAAAAAACTGTTTTGCTCTATTAAATATAGGCACATTATTGAATCACATAAATCTTATGTTATGTTCTTTAATTTCTATAAAAATATTACACTTAATAATTCTTAAAATATTATTACATTTTTGTTATAAAAATGACATATTTGATATTCTTTTAACGTAAACCAATATCACACAAAATTTTTTATATGTATAATTAATATATAATATAGCTGCTAACCATTATTATGTCTCTATTGTTTAATACTGCATTTAATAAGCTTTTAATGAATCAAATCGAGTTAGTGCTTAAGCCTAACACCCGAGTCTCAATTGCCCAACAACTCAATTCCACAATCCACATTATAGGTAAAAAAAATTGAAAAAATAATATTATTTTCTGGCATAATATGAATTTATTATGTTAGATCATTTAATATTGGGA